GCAGAGGACTCGAGTGATTCTACTGCCCTTGAACTTCCCTCTTCCCCTGGCTGACTTGACACTGCTCCGCTGGTTTCTCGCCTCTCCTCTGCCTGCTCTCTCACCCACATTTTTCTGCAGTAGTCTCTCTCTCCATAGACGGTGCTGTGCAGGGCTCTGTTCCTCTCATTTAGCATTTAGTTTCCTCTGAATTTCACCCACACCCACAGCTTCGGCTCATCTTCTCCGCCTTCCCCCTCAATTCAGGGCGACTCTAAAGACTTCAGGGAATTGTGGTAGCTTAAATGTAGGTTTACAAAACTACCCTCCCCAAACTTGACAGAAAGGAACAAAAAGAAACAAAAATGAGAGAAAAGGCTGCAAAGGGCTGAAACCCTGGCATGCTTCTCCCAGACACAAAAGAAGACTTAAATAGAGGCAGACCTTTCTCTCCAAGGCGAAATGCAATGATACAAAGATTATTTTCCCTCAGTTATTTGATAAATTCATACAATCCTACTCAAGATGCCAGTGGGATTTTAAAAAATATTGCCAAATCACTTTAACCAGATAGTTACTCTTGTAAAAACATTTTTTTATATTTCTAAAAGAGATGAGTAATGAAGGAGAGAGAGACTTATTTTTTTTTTTTTAAGAAAATAGTATGTCACAACTTAAGGGGGAAGGAATGGTATAGGGATAGGAAGCAAATCAAAGGAGCAGATACACAATCTAGAAATATATACTCACGTACATAGAGACATTTAGTATATGAGACAAGAGGCACTGCTAATTAATGGTGCAAAGATGGATTATGAGTGTACGAAAATTTATGGAAAGAAAAAGTAAATGGATATTGGTTTTGTTTATTTGTTTTTGATGGTTCTGGACTACCACGCATGCTCTACCACCGGACTACCCCTCCCAGCCCTGAGTACTTACTGAGGTGGAGAAAGCTCTTTCAGCATGATATTCTAAGTCAGAAATCAGAAAAGGAAGGGTTGATATACTTCACACAGAAAAATGAAAATTTCAGCTTGGCAAACACCACATAACCAAAGTTAAATGGGTATTTGTAACAATGAATAATAGGAAGTGCTCCCTCAACTCAACAAGAAAAAGATAAAAACTGAGAGAAAATGGGGAAAGGGGATGAAAGAGCTTGGGAGTCATCATTTGCTCACTCAGCTGCAGTAAGGCCGGAAGGGGGTCGTCAGCCAGGAGAGCAATGTGACACAAATGTTATCAGACCCTCCCAGACGGTGACTATAAATAAGTTCCATTAACATCCCTAACCCAAAGTCCCTGCTGTTTCTCTTCTCGCGCCCACAGGACCTCTGCCCTCTTCCTCCTCTGCCACAAGTATTTCTGGGAGTTCCAAAAAGGGAGCACACATATGCTAAAGCATCACCCTGTCAGCCGCCATCCTCACATGGCTTCTCTGGAATTCTCCTCCTCCTGTCCCAGTTCAATGCCTCCCGCTAGCAAGGCCCCTGAAATGGTCCGGGCTTGTGTGTGACTCCCGCCCCGGAAGACGTTACCTCCTCCCAGTGTTTCCAAAGCCGCCGTTCCTTGGAACTGGTGGCACAGGGCTTAAAGCAGAGTTGGGGACGATCTTCCCTACTGCCAGTGGTCAGCATCCCTCCTGAGTCAGGGAGCAGCCTGGCAAGGAGGAAGTCAGGGGGGCTGCACTGCCTCTTATGGCTGCATAAAAATTACCACACATTTTTGTGGCTTTAAAGAACATACAGTTATTTTCACATGGTTCTGGAGGTCAGAAGTCTGAAAAGTCAGCTTCACTGTGCGAAAAAGAAAGTGTCACACTCCCACCAGAGGAGTTTCCATGCCTCTTCTGGCTCCAGATGTGTCTTTTGTATTTCCTGGCTCGGGCCCCTTCCTCTATCTTGAAAGCCATCATGTTTAGGGATCACATTGCCTTCCCGTTCCATGTCAAACTTCCTTTGCTAAGACTGCATTTAGGGCCAACCCACATAATCCAAGATACCCTCCCAACTCAACACCCTTACTTACACACGCAAAACCTTCTTTGTCACAGAAGCTGACATCATAGCTTCCAGGACTAGGACCTACTTACCCTTGGGCACCGTTAGCCCACCTGGGGGCAGAGGCCTTCGCATCACCTCCAGCCTGCTCAGCTCCTTTCTCCTCAGTTTAGGAGAAGCGGCTGCTATACATCTTCGCAGATGCAAATACATGATGGTATTGGGGAGGATGCTGTCTCCATGAGGAGTGGCAGGGGCCCCAGCTGGCAGGCCACGAGCCCTGTGACAGGGACGAGACAGCCAGGCCTGGGAGTTCCTAGCGTGTGGGTGACAGATCAGTGTCACAGAGCTAAGACTCTAAGAATGTCAAAGCAGCCCCTCAGCCAATCTCCAGGAAGCTGGCAGCAGAGAGGGAACTTGAGGCTGGCACCAACTGGCCGGCCCTCCCAGGGAAGCCTCTGCCATGAGCCCCAGCAACTGTGTCTGTGTCCCTGCTGAGTGCCAACAGCAGCAGATCTTCATGTCTGATATGATGACCCTCCCATCATCCCCCCTGCTGTCCCATCACCAACATGGAGGTTCAAGTGGGAAAGAGATGAGCTCTACACACGGGTGCAGGCTGATTCCAAGAGTCAGAGTAGGTGCTGGCTAGGGCCCTTACCAGAGGGTCCAAAGTCAACCCTGATGTGGGGCCCGGGAGGACAGACATGGTCAACCTTCCAGGAGATAGGGACAGAAATGTCCCTGGGATGGAGTCTGTCTCCAAAGACCATCTTTAAAATATGGTGGGTAGTGTGTTCACGGAGGCCACCTCTATAATCACCTCCCCAGCTGTGCATAGCATTGTCACCGTCACCACCCACAGAGAGCCTCAGAAGATGCTGAGCTCACAGCTTGAGATAGGGAGGGAGCGCACTGGTTGGCGAGAAGGCTGAGGACAGAGTGGCAGCCAGGACATAAGCAGCTTATGTGCAGGGAGCTTGGGCTTTCTCTTCAGGCCTGTGGAATGCACTGAAGAGTTTTAAGCAGATATGGCCAGATTTACATTTTGAAAAACCATTCTAGTAGCATTGTGGATGATGGATTATAGTAAGGGAGCAGGATAGAGGCAGGGAGGCCAGTTAGGAGGCTGATTTCCAGGCAAGAAATCATCTGTGGCTGTGTCAGCACACATGGGGAAAAGTGGATGTGTTTGAGAGAGATTCATGGGGAAGAAAGAAATAGATTTCTGAACTGATGGGATGTGGGACATGGAGGAAGGAGTGAAGAATGATGTCCATGTTTCTGGCTTCAACCATGGGGTGGATGGTGGTCTCCCACACTGAGTGGGAAGAGCAGGGGGTGTTGGAGAAGAGCACGATATTTAGGCATTGGGAGTGCGAGGTGGTCCTAAGATATCTAAGAGGCTGTTGAACAGACAGTCTGGAGTGCAGAGAAGAGATCTGGGGTGAGGACATGGGTGGTAACCAGAAGTGAGTGCATGGATGACAAGTGTCCCAGGGGACGGATCCCACGTCTGATAGGATGCAGGGCAGGCAAAGGAGTCAAGAACAGAGCTGACATGGGAGGAGCCAACAGAGAAGCAGGGGACCTGAAGGGAACCGAGGACTGGCGAGCAATGTGGAAAGATCA